CTGAGATTGAGCTGCTTGAAACCTATGCCAGTTCTGCTCTTTCGTTACTTGAAGATGTAAAGCTTTTCCATGTTCCTTAGTTCATTAGTATGATATTGTTAACACAACACAGATTTTGCTTTGTTATGTACCATTCATACCCCCTGTCTATCTACTTTGCCTAAGTGTGCATGTGTGAATTGTTTAGCGCCCCCAGCTCATCTCCTTCGGCGCACCGCTGGGTCTCTGACATGCAGCATTCTTTACCTTCAAAATGCTGCATACGGCTTCGCTGCAAAGGGGCCTCTACCCAAACGCGCAATTCTAAAAGAAATCACCCAGAGCGTGTTACCATTCGCTGTCCGGCTTAATCATCCCACAGCCCAAATAGATGGCAGAGGAGAACAGGGGAGATGTGGCCAGAGGTTAATGTTATACCAGTTACATAACAATCCAGATGTATTTACAGCTTATTTACATTCTTAGTAATTTTGTCACAGATTCTTAAAAGCCTGCTTGATCAGAAACTCCTGGCCTGCAGGGTAGAGGCAGAACCCCCTGTAATACAGCCCCATGGGCCCTACTGGGTTTCGAGTCTTGCTGCATAAGCACAAGCCCCTGCCATTGCCTCAAACCTCCAAAAAAAAAAAAAAAAAAAAAATCGAGAGAACAAGGGCCTTTCTCCTGCTAACAAATAGTCCTTCCTGCCTTCCTCCAGTCCTTCTCTGCAGAGGATCTTAAGTGCTTTGCAGTTCATTTAGCAGCAAATCTTCCCAAAGCCCCTGTGAAGTTGATGCGTGTTACTGCTCCTGTTTTATGTTGGGGGAAGCTCAGGCACAGACAGAGGAAGTGATTGCCTCAGACCATACTGCAAGCTCACAGCACAGCCAAAAAAAACAGATCACCCAGGACATATTTCAAGACCATCCCTCTCTCCCAGGGATGTCACCAGTTCCATCAGGTGGAACTGGGAAAGCGTGCCAAGGTCTGGCTTGTCCAAAACAAGGAACACCCTCCATGGGCAGCTTCGACTAGCCTGTGCGACATTCTGGAATATGCCCATGCAGCCAGACTGGTAAAGGCTGCGTTCGTGCACCCTGAAGTGGCTCAGTGCAACCACAAAACGATGCAACAGCCTGCAGCATGTACCACTGAAAACGTGCCTTGCTACCAAAAGCAGCTGGAAGAAAGATTCAGTTTGTAATAGCAAGATTTAAGGTCTGTAGAGCCACTCCCCCCACGTGACCACAGTATGCAGATGAACTGGGGTGGGCAACTACTAGCTGGTTTCTCCCTGATATCACACGCTGATTGACTCAATGTGATAAATGCTCCATCTGACAGTAAGAAACAGTAAGAAATGTTCCCTCCTCTTCAGCTTCTCTTGTAGAAAGGTTTGGGATGAGGTTGTGAGGGGAGGCTGGTTCAAGAGAGGGGAAGGCATTCAAAAGGATTTGTGAGGAGTAGAAACTAGGAGCAAGGAGGGAGCCAAGGCTGTCAGGACCGCCACTCAAAGCATTAGAATCAGTAGAGGCATCCTCTATTGCAGCAGAGGCCTTGAAGGTGAAGAAGCAGCAGCCACTCACTCTGTAGTAGTTACCGCTGCCTTCATCCCCTTCTGTGGTATTTAATGTTTGCAGGGCCTGAAGGGCCCAGCCAGGATCCAAGCCCTGTGCAGTGCCCTTCACAGCTGAACACAGGAAAAAAAGACTAGCAGGCTCCCTCCCAGGTCTGTAATTGCAGAATCTGGTGGTGGACCCCACTGCACAGCTCTCTGGATAGCTCCAAGGTCCTACCAAAGAACCAGGCTTGCTTCTCTCTCAGTTTCACAGCCTCCCTTACACTGCACTAGTTGGACACTTGGCCTGCTGTCCCTCTGCCTCCATCCTGCACCCCGGATGCAGCTCAGAACAGGGCTAGCCCACTGCTGCATGACTACAGGTGTCACCACAGATAAACATTAAACCAAAGCCCCGTCCTGTGGACTAGCAAGCAAAGGGACATGACAGCGACATGCTCTCTCTCAGTACGAGGACACAAAAATCTGGAATGGACTCCAAGGGAGGTGCTGCTCTCCCCTACTGTGCGGGTCTTTAAAAGAAGACTGGACGTGTACCTGGCTGGGGTTATCTGACCCCAGTGCCCTTTCCTGCCCATAGCAGGGAATCGCACTCGAAAATCTACTGAGGTCCCTTCCAACCCAAACATCCATGAAAATGCAAAGTACCAGCAAGCACAGAGCAGCTGCTCAGCATCACTGCAACAGCAATAGAGACAAGCACAAAAGGCGCATCACGATGACAGATTCTATTAACGTGCCTCAGATAGAGTTCACATATATTTTGTTTTTTAAAATAATCTTTCTTTAAATATAGCAGGAAACAGGACAGGAACAAGGAGACAGTACTTGCACACCCGCAAATTGCTCATCTATCCAACGACGGCATATCAACCCTAAATTACAGACACAGCTTTTAGGCACCAACTCTTCCATTTTATGCTTGTAGCCAACACAAAGAACTGCTAAATTCAGGAAGGCAGCCAAGAGTATTGGCCAGTCCTACCTAATTAGGGCTCCAGCTGCTGCATGCCTGGGACACACGACGGATGTTGAATTCTCAGCAGAGAGATGATACTTTCATTCACAAAGTAATGAGCAGGGATCCTGGTTTTCTCCGATTTAAAAAAATCGCCAACTTTTCATTTAAAAAAAAGTAACCTCCAATCCACATTTTTCCATGATTAAAACAAAACACCGCTAACATATATTTATATTTATATTAGCGGTGTTTTGTTTTAATGATGGAAAAATGTGGATTGGGGGTTACTTTTTTTAAAATTAAAATTGGGGATTTTTTAAAGAGAAAACCAGGACCCCTGGCAATGAGCACCTAAACACATGCCCTGTAACTCGCATGCTTTTCAGGAAAGCCTGCCCCTGTGCAGCATGCTCCATGAGCTTGAAGTCCACCCTACACCTGAAAAATCACTTTTCCAGGCAAAGATGTGAGGCTGAGGATGTGTGTTATGTATTATGCACATGCCAAAAGACTAAACATTAAGTGTCAGGCAGACAAGCTTGAACTCCTAACTGCAAACTATGAACCAAAACAACTAATATTCGCACATGGGTTTTTAATCTAATCCCTGTTTGGAAGAACACTTTGCACAAATGTTTTAACCTTTCCCTATTTGCTGTTTAAAGCACCATGAAGACAAATGCTAGGGGTTATTAGCATGAAGAGAACTGGGACCCGCAAAAATTGCTGTAGCACGATCTGGGTATCCGTGGACAAGCCATAATGATTTTGGTTTTTTGTCATTTTCATTCTGTGCAGACTCCTTCATCACCACACGCAAGTTTCTCAAAAGACTATTTAACTACAGCCAGTGTAACGAGCCCAGCTGCCATGCCCTAGATGGGCTGAAGAGTGCAACCATCTTCCAGAGGAAAGAGGTGAATCAGGCTGCAATAAGCAGCACAAGTTCTAGCTCCATAAGCAATGTCGGGAATAAAGTAAAAGGAGACGCTACGTTTTTCCACAACATTTTACGGAGGTTTCGCTGCACAGGAATGATTCTGCTGCAGCGACGCGTTCACAGGATCCTGGCCTTCGGGCTCCCCTCTCACCTCAGTTTGCCAGTGGGAACACGCAGGGGGAAAAGACTGTTCTTGGGTATAAGGAGCTCCTCTGCTGGGTGACAACTGCTCCTACATTAAGTAACTGCTATTATTCTCCGTGTAGCACTTGGGCTAGCGCTCCGCTCCCTAAGGAGTTCACATTTCAATCCCGCCGCTGCTGCTTGCACTTGAACGCTCTCAAGATGCCTTCCAAAGAGGGAAAAGGTCTCTGCAAATCAGTCGCTACCGGCACCATCGCAAGCAGGACGGGGATGACAGGCAGGACAGAAAGAAGGCAAAGAAAGATGCTGTTGCTAATGCAATTATCGCTGCATTCACAACAGACAACGCGCAGGACAAACACGAGAGCAGAACTGCTCCTAACCACGGAGCAGCCAAGATCTGTGCGGGGAACAGGGAGCCGGCGACTCCACCTAGAGCAAATATGTACTCTGCGCCGCTGGGCGAAGCACTTTGTCCCCCGGCACCCAGGCTCCCCGCCTGCGAAGAGGGACCCGCGCGCCGCACCGCGCCTCTCTCACGGCTGGCGGCTCCCGGGCGCGCCCCGAGGGATGCTTCCGACCACGCGGCTACAGCGAGGTGCAGAGCGCCCCGGCTCCCGCGCTCATCCCTCGCCCCCGACACAAGC